AAAAACAATCTTAACTAGCAGAAATAAATATGTTGATCAACTAAATAAAAGGTTGATTGCAAAATTTTATAGTGACAACAAAATATTTTTCAGTTTTTGACTCAGCAGAAAATGATACCGATAATTACTACCAAGAAAAATACTTAAATACTTTAATACCAAATGGCCTTCTACCATATATGTTTGTTGTCAAGTTTATTATTTCTTATGTATGTTAGTGTCACCGTATATATAATAGACTAAGTTAAAATTCATATCCATTATATATAGGTTGATTTTGAAGAAACAAAAATGCATGTCATGCTACTGAAAAAGTTAAATACGCCGAATAGCTTTTGTAATAGCACATAGATGGTATATAGAAGTTTTGACAATAACGTCATACATGCAAAAAATATGATACCAGTCAATGTGCTTCTAAGTATATTCTTATCCCTAAATTCAACTTGGTCTTCCGAAACTAAGGAATATCCTTTTAAATTTGTGTGAAAATAATTTTTAGTATGTTTATATTTTGCAAATATAATAAATAAAGTACAAAGACAAACATCCTAAATATTGAACTATATTTACCGCAATATGTTTTCTTGCATGAACAATTATATGTTGCACTTTCAAGAGGGATATCAAGATCGACAACCAGAGTTCTGGTTAAGGCAGAACAATCAAATCATTAGGAGGAAACATACACACAAAAAAAATATCGTCCATAAAGAAGTGTTCAGTAAGATACCATCACATTAAATACTTTTAAACTATACTTCCTCCGGTCCACTTTAAGGTTAATATGGTTAATTACATTGTTAGTTAATGCTAAAAGGTGAATTCCTTAATATGTGTGAAAGCAACTAAAAAATTACTTAAAGCGGACCAGAGAAAGTAATACATAATTATCTAACTAACATGACAAAATTGATCATTTGTGCAAGTTTTGATGATACCGTTTTATTTTAAATTCATGTATTATGCTAATGCAATAATATTTTTCAGCATTTAGAATATTTTTGTATTATTATACATAAAATTTCTCTAATTAAATAAATTGTATTATCCCTTCATATAAATAAAATTTTAAATCATCACGTGTCATTATTAACGTGCAACTCACGCTCATAGAAACTAGTATTATTAAAAAAGCACGAATACTTTATGCTAAATATTGAACGACTAAAATATTTCGGAAATATTAATTGACTTTTATATCCTTAAATATTTGTATTATTTAAGAATGTAATTATAAATTATCCAAGGCTGGAATTCTTTTCCAATCTAAACTAAAATTGTAACATCAAAAACCTCACTGCAATGTAAATTTGCGTTGAATTCTTATACCAATCACGCATCCTACTTCCATACAAGTCCCACCTGAATAAGAATACCTGGAACCACCCCTTACTATTATAAAAAGGGGTTTTACTACTTGAAAAAAGGCCTTTTTGTCGTAGATATTATCACAAGTGTATAGCCGGATGGACCTTGTAACGATCCGATCAGTCGTTTTGAGCTATAGTATTTCACTCGGCGGTTTGAAGCCTTGAGTAGCTTCACTTCATGTTTATGACTTGTACGCGTAGTCGGAATCGAATTTCGGGAAGTTCAGAGTTGATTCAGATGGAAAATTCTAATTTCGGAAGTTTTAAATTGGGAGAATTGACTAAGGTTTGACTTTTAAGTAAATGGCCTCGAAATCGGGATTTGAAGGTTTCAATAGGTTCGTATGATGACTTCGAACTTGGGCGTGTGTTCGGGTTGAGTATCGGGTGGCTCGGGAGCATTTCAGCGCTTATTATGGAAAGTTGGCATTTTAAAGGTTTTAGAATTTCATAAGTTTGGTTTGAAGTGGATTTTAATGTTATCGATATCCGTTTGAGGTTACGAGACTTGGAATAAATTCGTATCATAATTTGTGACTTGCACACAAAGTTTGTCGTCATTCCGGAATGTTTAAGTATGAATCGAACGCGTTCGTCGAAGTTTGAATGTTTGAAAGTTTAAAGAAGGTTTCGATCGTCGATTCATGTTTTGATGTTGTTTGGTGTGATTTGAGGCCTTGAGTAAATTCGTGTTATGTTTTGGGACTGTGATTGGACGGGGCCTCGGGTGTGTTTCGGATGTGTTTGGATGGTGTCGCGCTCTTATTTGATGTTTCGAGGTCATTTCTTTGGGCATAAAGGGCACTATATTGAGCAAACGACCTTTGATTTGTGATTAGATTAAACCATTAGACTCGTATCGTAATTACGGAGCCATAACAACAAGAATCGTCGAATTCCTCCCTAGCCGAGTAAGTTCCAAACGGACGGGTACATTATATAATAACTTCATGGCTTTCATATATATTATCATGTATTTATAGTTTGTAGTTGTTTATAAGCATGTCAAAAGCTTTTTTTATTTTATTTTATATTTGCAAACCAAAGATAATTTTCCTAACATGTTGAAATCTTTTAGTTTTATGTGATGTGGAGTAAGTTTTGGAAAAGGATAATATTTGTTTATAGAATATTTCTCATGTCTACCGATGGATAAAAAATGACTAAAATATCCCAGAAACATTGATCGATTTTTATGCCCTTAAGTATTTATATATATAATTTAAGGATGTCGTTGTAAATTATCCAAGGCTGAAATTCTTTTCCAATCTAAACTACACATACATCGCTCTACAAGATATTGCGTATAATTCTTGGGCTACACTTGATATTTGGTTCTCCGGTTTGTATGGTAATTGTTCCACATTATTGATCATAATAAAAAATTTTGATGCAGATATTTCAAAGTGTAAAGCTACATAAGCCTCTTTGTTTACCCGAAAAATAGATAAAGTTCAATTTGTACGTAGTTCTAAGGATACGTAGTATAACTTGGTACAAATCGAAAAAATAAGTAAAGATATATCGAAATTAACTATAAAAAGAATGAATACAAACCCAAATTGAATAGCGAGCGATTGATAAGAGAACAAGATGAATCAATGTCAAAACCCAAAAAGGATAATATTTGCTGGATGTTATGTAAATCTCAGTAAATCTGAATGTGTGAATGAATCAATGTCCCCCTTGTACAAATGATAACCACTCTTAATATAGTGGGGGAATCCTACTTTAGATACAATTAAAAATACATAGTGGGGATCCCATGATAGATTAATTAATTAGATTTTCCTTAATTTAAGCCGTGATTTCCGCCGAGATTCTACCCACAATTGCGGTTATAACGGCTTTTCTGTCTTTTGGCTCGATCTCGATCCCGGCCGCTCTCGATCGTGATCGATCTCTATTCGCTCGACCTCTATCTAGGCTCGATCTCGATCTTGGCCGCTCCCGATCTTGATCGGTCTCTATTTGCTTGCCCTTTATTTTGACCGATCTCTGGGATTCGAACTCAATCCTGGCTAATCTCGATCTTGATCGGTGTTTGGGGCTCGTACTTGACAACCCAACTTCACATCACAGTTTGATATTATAATGACGAACCCCGATCTATCATGCTCCAATCTTGATTAGTCACACGAAGGACAAACTCGATTTTGATCGTATACATTCTCGCCGAGTAAGTTCCAAACCAACAAAAAGTTTAAACTTTCAGACTAACAAGTAGTTTACATCCTTGTTACTACTATATTTGCAGTTTGTAATTGGCTATAATTAAGCATGTAAAAAGCTTTGCCTTTTTTGTTTCTTTTGGCTCTTCCATAACGTCTTTATATGCTAATGAAAGAATCTAACATGGTTCTATTTTGCTTTCTTTTTATTTCTTTATTTCTTAATGCTAAAATCTTTAGTTTATGGGGTTTGGCTATTGGATATAATTGTGATATTGTTGTAGAACGAAGCAAAGTTCTCCAAAGGAATTATTAGTTCTTTTTTTCTTTTTTCTTTTTCGAAATTGAGTAATGATTTGGTTTAGGACTAGGGATGTTCATTTGGATCGGATATCCGAAATCCGAACCGATTCGCTCAATTTTGGATTTCAAATTTCGGATTTCGGATATTTGTATCGGATTTTGGATTGTGTTTACTAAAATTTCGGATATTCGGATTGGTATAATTGTAATCGGATCCGATCCGAAATACGAAATTATTAGGGTATGTATAAATATTAAACTTTAATTTCTGATAGTTAGTACTTCCTTTACATCTTCCTCCAAGTTATTACCTTTACAATTGATTTAGCTATATTGGCACCATAGTACTCTCATAATTGCATAAACATGAATTTTTCTTACTTTATTGCCTCTTTTGCAAAGAAAATATTCATATGAGTTTGCAACTTTGAGACAATAATCTGATCCGAAATCCGAAAATCCGATCTGATCCAAACTTTAAAATCCAATCTGATCCGATATTAATTCGGATCGGATTCGAATTACATTTTGTAAAATCCGAATCCGAAATGTGGTAAATTCGATACGATCCGATCCATGCACAACCCTATTTAGGACCATATATATGAATTTGACGGCAATAGCTATTTTTGTCCTATTCTCAATTATAGTGCTTTGATTTAGGGTCATATGTAGGTCGTGTTTTAAATATTCTTTTACTGATAACGCTTACCGTTCAATAAATAATAATTCTTTCTTCAGAAAAGAATTAGACCTTCAGCAATTACATGAGAATTCACAATTATTACACACCAATATAGCATGAGGTAACATAATTCAACTCCTAATTCGTTTAACTCTTATTAGTAATTCAACTTATAATAATGTACTGTCTCATAAAATATCAACATGACAACATTTTCCCTACTTAGAAGTTGAAGATAATAACTCATCTATTTTATGTGGACGTGGAGATTTATGAAAAGAAAGAGAAAAAAAATAAAAGATTGGAGAAAGTGATTTATTTGTTGTTAGTGGATTTTTTGTGGGTGTGTGGGGGTGGGGTNAGTCAACTTTCAAACTATCTTCCATTTCACCATTCCCTTTTTGAGTATATTTTTCCACATTGCCTTTTTCTCACCTTCCCTTTTATATATAAGCTGCTTCTACTCTCTAATTTCATCATCATTTTCCAAAATTTCATGCACCCAACTTCACAAATATTTTCAGAAACTTCTCTTTTCCTTCTTCAGAAACTTCTATATTCACTTCATTTATTTATGTAACTATAAGCACCTGAAATATAACTAGCCATTTATTTCCCCAGCATTATTTCAAGAAAACAAGAAAATGGATTGTGGTTTCAATTGGGAATACAATTCATTGATCAATGAATTAACACAAGGGATGGGACATGCTAAGCAACTAAGAGCATATTTCAGCTCTGCAGCTTCTTCTTGTTCTTCTAATAAAATTCAAGAATTGCATTTGCATATGCAAATGATTCTTTCTTCTTTTGAGAATTCTCTGTCAATTCTCAAATGGACTGGTTCAATAACACAAACCCCACAACTTGTAGTAGCACCACCTATATCAAATGTTGCACTTGAATCTTCTTTTTCTGTTGATGAAAGTCCTAAAACTGTTGACTTGAATGGAAATTTCAAAGAGAATGATCAGGACCTAAGATATGTTTCAAAGAAGAGGTTAGACTTGGATTATATTGTCTTAGAATTTAGTTACAAAATGTGATGATTAGTTCATTTTTTTAAAAGCTAAATTGACTTGGTTTTTATGGTTTTTGCAGAAAACAGTTGCCAACATGGACAGAACAAGTCAGAGTTAGTGCAGAGAATGGATTTGAAGGGCCTACTGATGATGGATATAGTTGGAGAAAGTATGGACAAAAAGACATTCTTGGTGCTAAATATCCCAGGTGATAAGTCAGTTTCTTTATCCAAAGTCATAAAACTCAAAAAAATTACTAAAAAGGGGTACCAACTTTTTTAACATTATAGATTAAAAAATGAAAAATTTAACTCAAAATGTCAAAATTTCTTGTCTTTTAGTAATTCTCTCTTGTTGAGCTGTCAAAACGGACTCGTCCAACTCAACCAACCCACGTGGGTTATGGGATTAAATCTCGGGCCGGCCCTTTACTTAAAAGGGCATTTAAAATGCCAACTCAGCTCAGCCCAGCCTAAAGGGTCGGCGAGCTGACATGGGTCGGTCCTATTAGTCTCATATTTATATGAGTTCCAACTCTACTCAAGTAACGAGTTGAGTTGTCTAGCATGATGGGCCAAAATCATTTTGATGGCTCCAGTCTATTAATAGTGTAAAAATGACATCAAGTAGCCACTCTAAAGTGCTGCTATTTAAGAATTAGTCAGTGCATTCTGAATTTCAGTTTTTCAGTTCAAATTTTCGGGACAAAAATATCCGAAATTGTCATGAAGTTAAGAATTTTAGTTTAAAGTTTCAGAATTTAAGAGAAATAGTGCTCCTTTGTACTAATGACAAGTTTTTATATTTGCAGGAGTTACTACAGATGCACATATCGACTAATGCAAAATTGTTGGGCAACAAAGCAAGTGCAAAGATCTGATGATGACCCTACACTATTTGAAATCACATACAAAGGTTCACATACTTGTAACCAAGCTTTTAACTCTGCACATACAACATCATCAGAGAAACATGAATTCAAGAAACAAGCCAACAATCCAAAAATAGTACAATCGAACCAGATGCTCGCCAACTTACAAGCAAATTTAAGAGTGAATACTAATGACTTGGACAAGAAGGAGACAACATGTTCTTTCCCATTTTCACCTACATTCTCTGGTTTCGTAGACGAAAATCTGCATTTTCAAGTGTCACAAGTTGATGACAATTTGGTAGGAGGTTATTCGCCGTCATTTATCTCTCCCACAACCCCAGAATCAAGCTACTTCTCATTACGAAGCTGCCAAATGAATGGTTCGCAACGAATCCACAGCTTACATAATTCAGAATCAGATCTTCCTGATTTATTCTCTGCCAACACTTCATCAACAAGCTCTCCAATTGTAGGCTTGGAGTTTCCACTTGAACATGTGGAGTTAGATCCAAATTTCCCATTTGATAACTCAGAATTTTTCAGATAAACTCAAACTAGTACTGTCAAAAAGGAATAATAAAGAGGAATAGCTGTGTTTTTCATCACTAAATCAACTCATTAAAGTTGATGATTTCTTCCTTTAGGAAGTAGTAGTATAGAAGTTTTTGTATAAATTAACAAGAAAGCTGGCCAAGGGTAGTAACAAGCTATAGTATTTGTATCAATATAGCTTAGTATTTTTGAACTTCTAGTCATCTAACATCAAGCTACTGAGTGAAACTCAATTACATTCTTGCTGAAGACACTTGAACATTCATCAATTTAATCAAGCTTGGTTTTTTTAACCTTATATTTGCATATAAGAATTGAGTTTGACACCAAGTAGAATAAAATTGTTTAAAGCAACAAGGATAACGAAAGATTTAAAACAGAATGTTTAGATGAGTTTCGTGCAAGATATGAACCCAAAATTTAATAGTACAATGAGTTTAGTGCAAGATTGAACCTATTAATTTAAATTCTGGATCCGCCTCTACAGAAAATGGGTGAAATTCAAAAATAGCCAGATTTACAAATGGTAATTGAAAAATAGTTACAGTTTCAAAAGTAATCGAAATTTAGCCAATTTTCATGTAAAGATAAATCTGAAATTCTAGCATAATATACTGGAATTCCACTGTAATATACTGGAGTTCCAGCATAATATATTGGTCCAGCATAATATGCTTGAAGTTCATACACATGTGCTCCAATCTCCAGTATTATGCTGGAACTTTCCGTGTGTTGAAGTTCCAGCATAATATGCTGGAAGTTCATACACATATGCACCAATCTCCAGTATATTATGCCGGAACTTTCCGTGTTGCAGCAAAATAGTGGCTATTTTGTCAATGACTTTGCAAACGCTGGTTATTTTTCAACTACCAGTCCGAAAACTGGCTAGCCCGTGCTATTTTCACACAGAAAATACATGGCACTTCAGATGGGCAACTACCCAACTTCTGAAGCCCACCAACATTAATTCTTCTCCCTCCCGTTAACAGGCAAATGACCACTCCTTCGTATTCAAAGACAACAGTAAACTAATCGGTCTAAGATTAAAGTCTAGTTGATCAATCAATTGATTAACTAACTGCATATAGCTTTAATTAAGTATCTATTGAGGGAAACTAACAGTTTTGCAGTTGCAGTTGCACTTTGGTGCTCTCTTCTTTCTTGCTTCTTTTCTTTTCTTCTGTCTCTGATTATTTTTTTGGGGGTTAGTTCCGCTTTCATTCACTGTTTTGCATCAATTTTTGGAGATTTCAGAAAAATGGAAACTAAGTATATAGATTGCATAGTGCAGACTGCAGAGTAGCTTAATTTCAACTTGGACATCATTCAGGTGCGACCAGACAAACAAGTAAAAATAGCACGGGCTTTTCAGACTGGTAATTCAAAAATAGTCACCGTTTGTAAAGTCATTGAAAAATAACTACTATTTTGCTGCAACACAGACCGGTCCAGCATAATATACTGGAGATTGGTACACCCGCGTATGAACTTCCAGCATATTATGCTGGAACTCCAACACGTGAAAAGTTTATAATATACTAAAGATTGGAGCACCTGTGTATAAACTTCCAGCATATTATACTGAACCGGTATATTATACTGATACTCCAGTATATTATGCTGGAATATTTTCCGGATTTTGAACAGTGTTTTCGTTCAGATTTATCTTTACATGAAAAGTGACTAAATTTCAATTACTTTTGAAATTGTGGTTATTTTTCAATTACCACTTGTAAATCTGACTATTTTTGAATTTCTCTCGACAAACAAGGCCTATGCTGCCTGCCCAAAAAAGTCAAATTGGATATGAATAATAATAGTAAATCAAAACCTGTATCCCAATTTTCCACACTAAAACAATGGGATAACAAGTTCATGATGTCAGATGAACATAAATTATATTGGGAATTTCCAATATTCCCACTTGCCACAAACCACTTTATAATGCAAGAGTTGAAGCCACAGAATGATATGCTTTACAAAATGATATGCCTGATGGCAAACTGGTAACGTGGATAACCACCAGAGAAACTTTGTGTTTTGCTGGGTTGTTGCCTCTTTGACAAGCTTGAATGTGAAAATCACATAAGCAACCTAGCTAGTGGGCTCTAATACCGCTTGTTCATGCCAAACCCCATTCAAGTCGGACTGCCACAAGCGAACTACATCATCGCTCCCAGTAGTAGCAAGTGTCATCCCGCTCATGTCCCATTCCATCTGCCATACCTGCATGACAAAAAAATCAAATATGGGGTAATAAAATGTGTGAATTAGTCGCTTGCTAGTCAAAGTTTACCCTAGCAAAAAACTCAGAATAGATAACAACAAGTGACTCTACTAAATTGAGGCTAAGACATAATTGATTTACAAGGGAACAGCTAAACTAAAGAGTGTGGCACTAGGTACCTCGCTGTCATGAGTAGAGAGCGTGGCAACCTTCTCCACCGAGAGCCTTCCATTGGGGTCAGGATTTGATCCAACATGCCATATTGCAATTTCCTTGGAAGTAGAAACCGCTATTAACTCGTACGGCCTGAAAAAGGAAGCTTTTAAGTTAGAAAGCGCATCCAACAAACTGAGCAGATAAATTTTTCTTTGCTTTGCAGGACTTTGGAAACCACCCGTGAATTCTAGCACTGAGCAATTTTAAGCCTCAGTCAGCTGTCGAGTTGAGTGTATAGTATTTGCATTTTTTATAACGAACAAAAAGAAGCAGACACTGCACACTCAACTAAACAGTTCTAAGGAAGTCATAATATTCAATTATTACGATACAGTATCTGCATCATATATGCCTTAAATGTGCAGAGACATCTGTCCATGGGTTAAGTACAGTATGTACAATGGAAATCCCTTACTCACCCAGATTAATAGTGGATCGTTCAGGCTAGAAATCTCCTTGGCCAAAAAGGAAAGACTACAGAAACATCTTTTGTAAACTCCCTAATACCACTGCTGACATTCATATATGCTCTATAAATGATTAAAGAGGATGTTTCCAAGAGCGAACCTTCCAATATTTGGTGCCCATGCAACTGTAGAGACTGGATCACCTTTATCTGCAGGTAAAGCTAATTCCGCAACTGGAAGCCATCTCTGATGATCCTGATCGAATTCCCAAACCTGTAGAAATCTATGATATGATAACATTACATATGTCCCACCAGAGACCAAGTACACTAGCAGCTTTTTAAGACCATACTGCATGATAGCAGCTTAAGATTTCAAGAATTGCCTCTTCCGACTTTATGAATGCCCAATAAATACATATAAGTTGCATAACTAGCTTTACTCTTCATAAAAAAAAATAGCTTTACCTTAACTCATAATCAACAAGAATCTGAATGCAATAAATGCACTGCCAAGTTTTAGCTAATGAAGAAAGACTTTGTAAATAGAACCAAATAAGGATTTTAGAACGCAACCCTTAAAGTAACATAAAGAAAGGAACTCATCATACCTTGGAGGAGTTCATGTGTGGCATGTCAGAATTAAAACCCAAAACAAAGCTTGATTGCTGAATTTCTCCTTTTAAAGGATTCCAAGCAATAGAAGCAGATCGGCATGAGACGTTTCCAAATTTAGATACAGATTCAATGACATTCTGAAATTCAGCCTACAGAAAAGAGGACTAAAAGTTAGCCTCTGCAATTTTCAGTAACATACATAATGTGTCATCTACAAGATGTAGTCAAAAGAGCTTAAAAATGCTACCTATATAGGATAACCAGCTCAAGAAGGTAACAGAAATTAAGAATTAAGAAAGTACACCATGAAGAAAAGAGCAAAGACATGGGGAGCTTGCAGAGGATATTATTATAATACACATTACTGTAATGGTTGGTGACCAGCAAACCACACAACGATAGGGCACACCAAGCTTTGGTGCCAAAGAACCACCAGTAGAATTTGGAATTTGTACAATTGCCAAAAATAAGCAGAATAACACTATTCCTCTGATTCGGTTGGAGCTCTCAATCCAAAATTTAACAAAGATCATTTGTTTGAGAGCATGATCAAAACCATGACTCGGAAGAGAATGCTGATATGTGACCAAATAACAACATGAAAGGTGATTGCCGTATTTTTCAGAGTTTGGTTAGAACAAGTTCTTTTCTGGAAAGGAAAGCAGACATAGATGATAATATACCTGTAGCTGCCAGTTCTTCAATTCAAATGGATCTAGGAGCTCAAACACTTTTACTTGGCCATCTGAATATGCGGCAACCTATGGGAAATAAAATAATGATGTGTCACCAAAATGACTCTGTGTATTCATACTCACTAAATGCTATTGACAGAAAACCAAGAGTCACTGGATCAAGCAGATTGATCTCAACATTGCCTATCCAGTGAAATTGAAGAAAAAATGAGAAACATAACATCAGATAAAGGCCCCATAAATGTTTTGCGACTAAAATAAAGCAAGACTACAATGTACATTTATACATTGACCACTCTGCTGTATCACCTTCCTCAATGAGGATCCCTACCTAACACATTTAAGTGGCTTTTATAACACTTTGGCATCTCATATTGTCAATTATAAAAGCAAGCAAACCAAAGAAATTCACTTGTAGCTAAAACGAGTGACAGCAGTTGTACACCAATAGAGCTTTGGTGCACCAGCCAACTGTTTTTCCTCTCCTCTATCATGTATCCAAGCAATATAAGCTTCTTTCTTCAGCTTGTACTTTAGATCTGTGCAAAACCCTTTCTACCTAATACTGAAACTTCAATAAACAGTAGAGTGGGGCTGATCCCTCCCTATAACTGACCTTCAGATTGCTTCTGAATTGTCAAAAGTTGCTATTAGTCACATTCACCTCAGGTATACATGTCATTGAGGTGCATAACTCGTAAAACCATAAGATTACACATAAAACAATTATCAAGTCTAAAAGTAACTATGTTAGACAATTATCCAAAAATAAAAACCAAAAGAGCAAGAGAGAGGGAGAGGAAGTTACAGGCAACCCCCCCTCTCCTCTCTCAGACTGAGGAATGCAAAAGAATTTTAAAAGGAAGCCAGATTTTCTGAAGAATAACATGGAAGACCAGACTCTTTCCTATCGCTCCAAAATAAGTACCTAAGAAGAGCAACAACAACAACATACCCAGTATAATCTCACATAGTGGGGAAGTACCTAAGAAGAGCGCAAGCCAAATTTGCAAATTAGACACAACTTACTTCTTGAAAAACCAGGTTTAATGGAACATATAAAAAGGAAGATATTTGTAATGCTTGAATCTAAACATA